TGCGGGAGATGAGAAGACTCTGGGGCCCAGGGTCACAACCCTCCCTCAGTATTGTCCTTCCTGGCTTGTGGCAACTTCTGGGTGAGCTTTGGATCTGACAGTTTCAGGGTGAATTTAGTAAAGTTAAGGGTATTAATAATAAAAGAATATAAACTAGATTTTATCTGTGACACGGATACTCATAACCACGTGGTATGTGCTCTGTGCACGGCTGGTGTGTGTGTGTGTGTGTGTGTGTGTGTGTGTGTGTGATGAAGAGAATGAGAATGAAAGAGGGAGATCTGTCATAACTTGATGTTTGGGGGACGCCTGGATGGCTCAGTCGGGTTAAGCATCTGCCTTTGGCTCAGGTCATGATCCCAGGGTCCTGGGATGGAGCCCCACATCGGGCTCCCTGCTCAGCAGGGAGCCTGCTCCTCCCTCTGCCTGCCGCTCCCCCTGCTTGTGCTGGCTCGCTCTCTCTGACAAATAAATAAAATCTTCAAAAAATATGACTTGATGTTTGGAAAAAATGCCACTTTTCCCCTTTGCTCACAGTTTCCTTTTGACCCCTGAGAAGATTTTTGGTTGTATTTATCACCATACAGCTGCCAGCCTTGGAACGTGAGAACCCAGGGGAGGAAGTGGAGCCAAACTCTGCTCACTCCTCTGGGTGGCTGGAAGGCACCGAGCAGAGGGAAAGGGAGACTGCTTTCTTTCCTTTTCCCTTTCTAGCCCATCTGACCTTTCAGTGGGACCTGTGTCCTGCTCCCCTCCTCTCTTTTGCCCTGAGCAGAGGAGGGAGATAGATGGGATTCTCCCTGGGGTGGGGGTGGGGAGCATGGAACTCATGCCTTCCAGGCCAGCTTGGTCCTGGGGTCTGGGGGCGGGGGAAGGGCATGGGGCCATTCTCTGACCCCTGGCTCCCCCTGCCCTTGCCCTTGAAGGCCTGTGTGTATCATCCACCTCAGGCTCCTAGGCTCCCAGGGTCTCTGATGGTGGAGTCCCCCCTTGTCTCATCCCAGGCCTGGGAGGCAGGAAGTGGCAGCAGAGGGTGTTCCCCTCTCTGGAATGACCTCCCAGCTCTAGATAGGACAAATGACTTGCTTAAAGTGAGTAGTAGCCAGTTAGAGTCAGAGTCCTAGTCAATCCAGTGACCTGCCATCTAGAAATAGATTGTATTTGTTCTCTCTGGTTGGGAGGCGGGAGGGGCTGGAAAAATTCTGTTTGGCTGGTCAGGTAGTCCTGGGGTACGGGATATTCCCGTGGGCACCGGCTGAGTTCCCCTCGCCCTGAGTCTGCCCAGGAGCTGGGGGCATAGGGAGCAGAGCCCAGGAAGGAGGGAGGGAGCGGCCAGGATTGGGGGGGGGGGGGGGGGGGGGGAGGCAGAAAGGGAGGGAAAGGGCTTGGGGACAGAGGGAGCCGGAGAGTGAGCAAACAATGTCCTGGAAAACAACTTGTTTCTCCTTCCAGGAGCCCTGCCTGCCTGCCTTCCCCACTAGAGACAGTAATTTAGAATAACGAGTCATAATTTGATTACATTCTCTTCCAGCCTCGCAGAGTAAACAAGGTTCTCCGTGGAGGGAAGGGGCAGCAGGACCCAGGCTTCTGTCACACTCCCCTGAGCCTGGACAGGGGTTTCCCCTCCTGTCGCTGTCCCTCTTTTCCTGGGTGTACTTGAAACACCGGTGGGCAACTTCAACCCCCATTTTTTACCGAGCCTTCCATTAGTCCTTCTGGCTCCTACCCCTTCCTCTCCCTCTTCCTCTCTGCCCTCCCTGATCATGTCCCCACCCAGAAGCCTGCATGCCGTGTAAATATTTAAACCCATCTATTATTTCCTGTTTATTAGTGGTGTAAATCCTGGGCTCATTCATTGTGCATCTGTCCTGCTGTATCTATCTCAGAAGGGGAGGCCCAAAGAGAGGGCCACGTGTCTGCTCTTCCCTGGGAGTAGCCTCCCGCAGGCCTGTACTCAGCTGTATGACCAAGTTTGACTTTGAATGTTTTTCCCCCATGTTTTGCTTTATTGTGGTAAAGTAGGCATAACATAAAACGTCACATCTGAGCGTAAAGCTCAGCTGTATCAAATACATTCTTTTTTTTTTTTTAAAGATTTTATTTATTTATTTGAGAGAGAGAATGAGAGAGAGAGAGAGAGCATGAGAGGGGGAGGGTCAGAGGGAGAAGCAGACTCTCTGCCGAGCAGGGAGCCCGATGCGGGACTCGATCCCGGGACTCCAGGATCATGACCTGAGCCGAAGGCAGTCGCCCAACCGACTGAGCCACCCAGGCGCCCATATGTATATCAAATACATTCTTGATACTGTGCAACCATCACCACCATCCATCCCCAGAAATCTTTTCATCTTGTAAAACTCAAAGTCCCTCCCTATAAATACTAATTCCCCATTCTGTTTTCCTCTCGGTCCCTGGTGAGTATGTTCTACTTTCTGTCTCTGTGATGTTGATTACTCCAAGTACCTCATACGAGAGGAGCCACACAGTACAATTTGTCTTTTTGTGCCTGGCTTATTCCACTTAGCATAATGTCCGCAAGGTTCATCCATGCTGCAGTGTAGGTTAGGATTTCCTTCCTTTGGAAGGCCGAGTAATATTCCGTTGTGTGTAGACCACATTTTGCTCCTCCATTCATCCATCACGGACATTGGGGTTGCTCCCACGTTTTAACTGTCGTGACTAATGCTGCTGTGAACGCAGGTGTACAAATCGGCTTTTATTTTTTTATGATAAAAGGCTACCTTGTATTGCTTGCTTGCTATACACTCAGGAGTGTGCAGACTTAATCACTTAATTATCACAAGTACTTGCCAGGTGGCAACTATTCTGTTTTATGGATGAAGAAATTGAGGCTCTGAGAAGCCAGTTTGCTCAAGGCAGAGAAAGGGGGAGCGAGGACCAGTACCTGTCCATGCTTCTAGCCATGGCCTTTCACTGCACTGTGTTGGTAATGGACTTCAAGAAGGAGTCTCAGGGTATATTACCAGTCCTGCAGCCCCACGAAGGACAGACCCTGTCCCCGACCCTCTTCCCAGTGAGAGGCTCCATCCTCCTGCCCCAGACAGGGCAGCCTGGACACAGGACCCTGTGGGGCCCTGGATGGACCTATGAAGCCCGGGCAGACCCCAGAATGAAACAGCGTCTGATAGCCTTCAGGCTGCCAGCATTTCTGTTGTCGCCTCCCCATCAAGGGTGAGGGCAGTGAGGTGGAGGGCACGGGTCAGTGCGTCATTAGGAGGGTGGGGAGCGGAGGGAGTGGGGAGTCCTGGGGCCCCACAGGGTGGGGTCAGGGCAGTCATCATCCATCCCCACCCCCAGCTCTCCCCTGTGACTATAGCATGTCTCTCCTTGATGTCCCTGCCCCAAGTCCCACTCATCATCTCCCCACCCCCACCCCCACCTCCCCCAGTCTCCCTGAGGGCCCTTGAAATCCAGGCTGGCATCCTGGTCTAGAGAATTTCCAGGCTGGGCTCTACCCTAAGGTATCCAGCCTAAGGGGCTGCTTGTAGGAGAGCACATTGGGGTGAGGGGGCTCTGGGCTCTGTCAGCCTGTCCTGGATTCCTTCCTCTGAGCCAGCCTTGAGCCAAGAACTCCAAGGTCCGTGTGGGAGTAGCAGTGGGTCAGCTCAGTTCCCACGGCAACATGCAGGGTGGGGGCTGGGGCCCGGCAGATGGAGGCCTGCCCTGGGCCCTGGAAGACAGGTTAGCTGCTGCCTCTCTGTGTGACCTTGGGCCGTTCTCCTCCGTGGGTTATAAAGGGTTTGGTCCACATCACTGGTTCTCAAACTGCCCTTTAAAATCCTTTGGAGAGCTTTAAAAACTACTCTTGACTTGTTTTCAGCCTCAGAGATGGTGATTTATTTGGCGTAGTTTGTGGCCTGAGCATCAGGATTTTTAAATGATCCTCAAGTGATTCGAATTTATAGCCAAGTTGGAGAATGACCGTTCTAGATAAGTGCAACCTCGGGGAGGTAGTGAGCCTAGTTGTTGACTACATGGCCCATTTGTGAATTGACTACTTACCCACTATTGTGTAATAAGTGTTTAGACAGTGCCTGGCACATAGTAGATATTCAGTAAGCGTTTATTGAATAACCAAAAAGAGCCAGACTCTGGGTTTGAATCTGCATGGGAGACAGCGTGGGAACTTTCTTTGCTCTACTTGCTTTGTTTTGCAACATGGGGACAGTGAATAGAACTTACTTCATAGGATTAATATGTATGAAGCCTCGAGACGGTGCCTAGCATACGCTAAGCACTCCATAAAAGTTTGCTGCCATTTTAAATCTCTAACCTTATTTTCGGGCCCCGCCTCCCCCATGAAAGGCTCTCTCTTACTCTCCTCTGCGCCCCTGCTGGGGTTACAGCTGATACTAGTGGGGGCTAGCTGGATCCAGCATTGCACATCTTTGGGGCCTAGGGCAGTGTCTGGACCAGCCATGCAGGAGGTCATCACCCTTTCCCTTCCCTTAACATGTAAAACATGTAGACAGAGTCTTGTTTGGTACAAAGGGCAGGAGGGGCTTGCAGACCATGACGTTGACCGACAAGGCCCAGAGTTCTCTCCCTCAGATCCTTCTTCACCCTGCCAGCATGGTCTTTCTAAGCCAGAAAGAAGACCACGTCACTCTCTTGCTTACTACGCCTCCGTGCTTCTCTGGCCCTTGCAGCGTGAGCCTGGGGCCCTGCAGGGGCCTGCGTGGTGCCCAGCCTTCTGTCTCCCTCCTCTCTCCATCCCTCATCTGTGGCTGTACCTCTTGGACTTCACATGCCAGTCAGCCCAGATGACCCGCAGTCTCCCACAACAGGAAACATATTCTGTCCGGGGAGAGGTGGGCTCCGGCCGAGGCCTGGAAAGCTCATGCCCGCCCCTGCCCGCCTGCCCTCATTCGCTTTTCTTTTAAGGTTCCGTACAAACGTTGCCTCTTTTAAGGATCCTTTGCTGACTCCTCCATCAACTGGGCTCACGGATTATTTAATTACTGTGCTTCCTCATTCAGGTGCTGCTTTTCTCCACCAGAAGGGTAACCGCTAAGTGGACCTGCGTCTCTGGTGCCCGGCGTGGGGCTTGCGGCTTCGTGAGCTCAGTGAAAGTTTGTGAGGTGAAGAACGGATAGATGGATGGATTTGCTGGCCCGTGGACTCACTGGTACCTTGTACCTGCACAGCTGAGGCTCGTTGCACCCTCAGGGGACGTGGGAGCACCTATGCTTGGGCCAGGACTTCTGTGAGCACACACTTGGGAGCACGGGCAGTGGGGAAGGGGGCCAGGCCCCTTTGGGGTTGGCCCTTTGGGAGCTGGAAAGGCCCTGCCTTTTTCTGCCCTTTGCCTGCTTCCCGATAGCCTCACCGGGGGCCTCTGACGGCTAAGCAGGGATTTGGGGTCAGATCAATATTTGTCTTTCTTCAGGAGCTGCCCTGCTCCCTACCTTGAACCTCTGGATTGGCGGTGGCTCCGTGCTGGACCCAGTGAGGGACGCCACCCGTAGACTTCTGCTGTTAGGGCTCTCGGCGTAGGTGAGAGCCAGAAGACGGTGAAAATCTTGGAAGGTGATCTTGTCCAGCTTACTGCTTCCAGGCAGGCCTGGACTGAGAACGGTCTGCCTTTTCCTTTGGAAGTCTCTGGAGGGGTGCCTGAGTGGCGCAGGCGATTAAGCGTCTGACTCGTGATTTCGTGATCTCAGGGCTGTGAGATGGAGCCCTCAGTTGGGCTCCACACTCGGCGGGGAGTCTGCTTGAGATTCTCTCTCTCCCTCCCTCTCTCTGCCCCTCCCCCCATGCTCTCTCTAAAATAAATAAATAAAATCTTTAAAACAAAAAGGCTCTGGGGGCGCGTGGGTGGCGCAGGCGATTAAACATCTGCCTTCGGCTCAGGTCGTGATCCCAGGGTCCTGGGATCGAGCCCCTCATGGGGCTCCCTGCTCAGCCAGGAGCCTGCTTCTCCCTCTGCCTCTTGCTGCTCCCCGCCCCGCTTGTGCTCTCTCACTCTTGCTCTCTCTCAAATAAATAAATAAATAAAATCTGAAAAAAAAAGTCTCTGGAGAGGGACACTCCATAAGGCCTTCCCCCACTTCTCAGTCCCAAGCTCTGGCTGGGCTCCACCCTCCCCATCTCATTTGTGCAGTGGCTGGGCTGGATAGTGTGGCTTATATTGTGGCCACGTGAGACAATTTGAATAATTGGGAGCATATATTCTGGGCTCAGACTGGGTTCAGATCCCAGCTCTGCCACCTATTAGCTGTGATGTCGGGCAAGTCCCTCAATCTTCTGTGTCTCAGTTTTCTTGTCTATACAATGGGAATGATAGTAAGGCTGTCATTGCGAAGATTGAAGGAGTTAATGCATGAAAAGCATGTAGCGGAGTACCCAGCACGGAGTAAAATGCTCAAAAAATGTGAGCTGTTCTTATTCCACAGCAGCTGTCTTCCCGGAGACTTGACGTGGTGTGCACGCAAGCACCTGTGATTCGGGGGTTAAGGGTGAACGAGACAGGTGCCTGCCCTCCAGAAACTCACAGTCCAGATGGGAGGCTGGCACCAAAACAGATCCGGCAAAGAAACGAAAGGGCCGTTTAATGCAGAAGTAGCTGCTCTTTCTGCTTTCTAGAAATGTGCTATGTTTCATGTTAGGGAAGTGGTTCTTTTGTGGGGAACACACAGCAATGGGCCCCTTGGGTGAGAAAGGAATGGCCTGAGTGGGTGAAGATGAGGTGAAGGAGAGTGAAAGTTTCGCATGACCTGAGGTGTTCAGAAAACTGTCACGTCTGGGGCAGCTGGGAGGAGAGCGCTGGGGGTAGGGTCCTCCAAAGAGGGCCAGTGGGTGAGGACCAGCAAAGAAATCTCCAGGGAGAAGTCTCATCTCAATTTTTAAAAAATTGTTTTTTGTTAGTAGGGAATATGTTTGCATATTTCAAAAAGTTAAGTGCACGGGGGTGCCTGGGTGGCTCAGCATCTGCCTTCGGCTCAGGCCATGATCTCGGAGGGCCATGATCTCGGAGTCCTGGGATGGAGCCCCAGCCTTCCTGCTCAGCGGGGGGTCTGCTTCTCCCTCTGCCCCTCACCCTGCTTGTGTTCTCTCTCTCAAATAAATAAATAAAATCTTAAAAAAAAAAATTAAGCACACAGAGGTGTATACGCACAATGAAAGCTCTCCCTCCACCCCTGCCCCTGGGCCACTAAGCTTACCGCCAGTTTCTCATGTGGCTTCCCGGAGATCTTCTATGTATATAGGGCAACTCTATGTAAACATATTTTCCTTCCTGCTTTTCCCCCTTTCTTTTGCAAATATGTCATTCACAGGACCCTGCACCTCGCTCTGTATTTACTCAGCATTTGCTTAGCTTTGCATTTCCTTAGTGATCAGCCCGGGAGCAGCAGGGCTTTCTGGTTTTCTGACAGCCGTGCTGTGCTCCACTGGGTTTGTGTACAGTGGTTTATTTACCCAGAGTCCTACTGTTGCACCTCCATGGTCAAGTCACTTCCTGCTCTGTGCCGTAATTTCCCCTTGTACCCTTGAATCTTCAGGAAAGTCAGCCACACAGACGTGGGCCTGGTGAGGCTTAGGAGCGGATCACCACACGGCAGAGGGCTTCACGAGGAAAGGTGTGAGAGGACGCCCCACGCCCAGCCCTCAAAGATGCTAGGAAGGGCTCTGACTCCCTACAATGTGTGGAAGGGGGCGCGAGGCTTCCTCCAGGATGTCATAGGAAAAGGTAAATCAAGGAGGCCCAAGGTCAAGCAAGCATTCGGATTTGAGATGCCTGGGTTACTCAAATAATGGTCACATAATTAGAAACGTAGCCAAATAGGATAGTACAGGTTGAATACTGGAGCTAGAAGGGCCCTTGGAGACCACTGAGCACTCCTCCCTTATGGTCATAATAACACAAATACCTAATATTTATTGAGCCCTTCCTCTGTGCCAGGCAGCATTCCAAGTGTTTGTGCTGATTAACCCATTAAATCCTCACACTAAACTTTGAGGTGGATGCTACCACTATCCCCGCTTCAGATAAAGGAAGTGAGACATAGGAGGACACATAACAGTCCCAGGTTCACAAAACTAGTGAGTGAAGAGCTGGAAATCAAGACCCGGGAGTCTGGTGGGGAGCCCAGGCTCTGAAGCGTCACACATTCTACCTCTTACACAGGTGAGGAGACTGAGCCCAGAGCAGGTGCTCCACAGCAAGTTGAGGGCAGAGCCTGGGGGTCTAGAATCCACGACCCCTTTTAGGACCCTCTCTCCAGCACACTGCCTCAGTTTGCCTGATGTACTGGGGAGCAGGGCGGTGTAGGGAGAGGGCCAGCAGGGGTGTGGCTCTGTGGGGATGAAGAGAAAGGCTGTGATTCATTCTGGGTGGCGGTCAAGAGGACGTCCTGGTGCTTGGGGTCATGTTGAATACCTGACATTACAGGTGGGTCCGGGATGTGTCCCGAAGACCCTTACTATTGATTCAAGAGATATATCTGACTCTCAGTGCTCTTCCAACTGTGGTTTGTCCATTTGGTGGCTTCTCTGTGGCCCAAACTGGCTCCTTGCCCTGTCCCCAAACCTACCAGGTCCTTCTCTCTGCACCTATCATCAGTGGTATCACTTTACCACATGGGCAGGCCCTACAGTGGTTTTGGGGGTGGGAGGCATTCACTCAAGGAAGTAAAGAAACCACGTGCAGGTTAGAACAGTGTACAACACCGTGAAGACTCCTGATGTTCTCAGCGCCCCCCCGCCCCCCATCGAGGTCTAATGGAAGTGACTTGGGGGTTGGAGATGATAGCTTCAGGACTCTCTGACCTCTTCCACAATGGGGCACTTCTAACAACTCTCCTAGTTAGGCTATGGATCTCCCCACCTTGCTGATTCCTGCTTCCCAGTCACAGCCCAAGCATCTGTCTGTCTGCTGCAGCTGTGAGCTCACCTGCGAGTCTATCTGTGATTGAGAAATCAAGCCCATTCTGGTTGGTGAAGACTGTGATGGTAGCAGGGCGACCATCCCGTCTCTGCTTCCGCCTGTTCTTCCTGCTCCCAGCACGCTCCGTGTGCCCTTCCATAGCTCTGCTCATGTTGGACTCGCCCAAGTGTTGTGAGCAACTCGAGGGCAGCTGAGTCTCCCAGCCCCCACCACAGCACTTGGCACTTAGTAGGCACTCATTAACGCCCGTGCAAGTGATGAGTGAGTCCTCCAGCCTGCCACTGGGTTTTGGAGGAACCCTGCATCCCCTCTGTTCTCTAAGTCTGGCCCCTGCTGAGCACCCCCCTCCCTGACTCCCAAAGGAGCTCGCGGTTCTATCTATCCTGCCTTCTTCTTTTTTTTTTAAAGGTCTGCTGAGATGTCATTCACATGCTATACAGTTCACCCACTGAAAGTGACAATCCAGTGGTTTTAGTTTAGTCTCAGAGTTGTGCAACCATCTCCACAATCAGTTTTAGAGCATTTTCATCACCAGCCAGCCTGTCTTTTGGCAGCACCCACCCTCTCAGCTTTCAAACACCCACAGGTCTTCCTCAGCTTAAAAAAAAAAAAAAAAGGCTCTCTTAACCCTGCTCTGAACTCTGTGACCATTGTGCAATATGTTTCCCTCTTTTCATGACTAAACTTCTTGAATGAGTGGTTCACACCCACTGCCTTAATTTTCTCAGATTCAATAAACATTTTTAAAAAGCATCTACAAAGTGCTAAGCCAGAGGTTTTCATATATATCATCTCATTTAATCTTCAAATTCTGCATGACCTGGGAATTATCTTATTTTAGAGGTAAGAAATCCAAGACGGAAAAGTGACTTTTCCAAGGGGCGTGGCAGGATTTGAACCCAGGTCTGCATGAATGCAGAGTTGGTGCTTTGTCCAGCTACATACCATCTGTGCTACAAAATCCAGCTGCACAGTTGACCTGCTGACCTTCCCATTCATCATTTGGGTGAGGTGCTCCTTGAATCTCACCGCTCCTCAAATGACCTTGCTGGTGCAACCAGATTCATGCCCTTTATGCCAGGCTCATTCTTTTCTCCAAGACTTTGTTCAAGCTGTGCCTTTCACTGGGCATCCTTTTCCTTCCTCCCTTCAGTGTTGGAATGTCTGAAAATCCTTTTTTAAAAGATCTGGCTCAGATCTACTTTCTCCATGAGAACTCGCTGTATCTTTGATCAAGCCTACCTGCTCTGGGGGGCTATAGCTTGTCCTGTTCCTTATCTAACAGCTTGGTCTTGTTGTTGAAATTGTCATGGGTGCGGTTCTAAATCTCCTGGGATTCTGGAACCACATGGGCAGCCTACCACCCTACCTTGCTGTGTTATGGAAGGAGCAGGTACTAAGGAAGTGTTCTGGCAGAAAGGAAAGAGAGAAGGCAGGCAGGCAGGCAGGCAAGCAAGATGGAAGGAAGAATGTGGGGGTGATATGGTGGTAATGATAGTGAGGATCTCAGGAGATATGGATGCAAAGGTGTTTTCAATTGTGAAATGTATTTTAAGGGCAAAGTAAAACTTGTCTAAGCCACACAACCGTATGTTGTGTGCTCAATGATTACTATTTGCATTAAGTTGAATGACCGCCCTTCCCCCCTGCAACAGCCCGTTGCTAGAGATAGCGGAGGTATACTTGTATCCTCTTCTGGGTAAAGAGTCTCCAGAGCAGGGATTACATCTGTCCCTGATCACTTTCCTAGACTTA